CGCCATGATCTTCTAAATTTCATTGGGCAACTCTTGTTGTTTCTTGTTATTCGTATCAATCTACTCACTAGAGACTCATTTTCAGGCTGCTGTTTAATACACCGTATTGTTTTACATTATAAATGTTTAGCAGTATCTTAAATCTTTTAGCGTATCATTTAGCGTTTGTTTAGCGTAACTCTTAGTGTATATCGTAGATTCTTATATTCTGTTTCTTTTTTATACTTTCTATTTTTGCTATTTTGGATGTGGGACCCTGTGCACACAATTTCGTTCCACCTCATGTACCACATGTGATGCGAATGACAATAACCTTGAACTTGAACATGTTTTTGCAGAAGAAAAGATTATCAGTTGGATTTTTTTTTTTCCTCTCCTCCATTAACTTTTCCTGCAGGATCCTGGACTTTCGAAGGGTCCCTCCAGTAGCCGGCAGGCGAGTGAACGTCACAGGAGAAGTTCTCCAAGTGGCCCACAATGAAGACCTACGGGCCGTGTTCTTCACCTCACCAGGTACCAGCAGGTCTATTTTAGGCCTAAACTACACTACTATGAATGTATATTTGAAAACTTTATTTTCTAAAGTTGTAAAAATAAAACTTCATCCAATCGAGAATAATTTAACAGTGAAATGCTCATGCCCAACCAGTAGGGGGCAGTAATGTTAATATCAAAGTAGTACAGTTTTTTTTATACATTAATTTTTCCTCAATAATTGAGCTTCTTAAACTTTTATGAAGTTTTATAAATTCTCTACTTTTCAGATTTACCAAAGTGTTTTTAAAATGCTCAACTTTGGAAAGCATTTTAAAATATATTAAATTTCCAAATGAAACTGGAGCAAACGCAACATCAAAAGCTCATTTAGCTCAACATCTGTATCAGAGTATAAAGGGCCTTAAAGAGCTCTGAAGAGTTCTGGTTTAAATATTTCTTTGGATCGGTGTCTTAAAAGAATACTTGTGTACACTTGAAAAAAAATGTGGAAAATTTAAAAACCTATCCGCACACCGACTGCACCTTTTGCGTTTTTGAAAATTTTTAGTTTGGGTTCAGTTTCTTTAAGAGCTATTTTCATTTAAAGTTCTTTCTGCTGATGTTTATGCATCAGTTACGACTGACGACGAAGCAGAGGTTCATAAATTGTTCAAGACTTTTAAGAAAAACTAGACATCCATTGGGAATCTGGAAGTTGAAGCTGTAATGGACAGATCTCAGTAGGCTAGTACCTTTTTAAGCCCCGCCCCCTCCATGTCAATAAACAGTCCTGGTATAAAATAAATTAAAAAAAAAAAAAACACCTCACGTTAATTGTAAGTGTTTATGTCTGTGAATTCACTTAGTTCATATTTTCCTGTTTTATGGTCAATTTTATTTTATTTATTTTTTACAATAAGTAAAAAAAAAAATAACAATCGGGAGTTACTGCATGTTTTTCCATAATGTATCATCAAATAAGAGAGGAAAACTCTGCATTCAGAAAGAAAATACCTTTATTCTTAGATGACTTCAGGTTTTGTTATTCTGCAAAAGCCTCCGCGCACAAAGTTGTCGAACATAGAAAATGTATGAACGGCTCAAAAAGTGGAATATGATGTCTTTAAAAAAAACAGAAGTCACCCATGTTTTGAGTTTGATGACATTATTCATTCCACCTTATCTGTGGTTTGGAAATAACTTTTAATTATGGACAATAAATAACCACATTGTCTCAAAAGTCTTAATGTTTTTATGGCAGTGCATCAGATTAAGAGCCAGGTTTCTTTTTAGCTTTGCATATAAAAGTTGATCTGAACCTTGGAATATAGGAGTGATTTTGGCGGCCAACTATTTCTTACGATAAATCGAAGTGAGATGAAAAAGCGTGAAATGTGATCAGCAAACTCATTTTGCATTTTGTTTCGACTTTTATTCCCCAAACAGCAAACAACACGTGTTTCTTCGCCAAGTGCCTTTATGTGTGTAAGACAGAATACGCCGTGTGTGGGGGTCCAGATCTGCTGGAGGGCTCATTGTCTGCCTATCTGCCGGGCCTCAGCATCGCTCCTCGCATCTCCATCCCCAACCCCTGGACGCGCTCCTACACCTTCACCAGACACCAAGAGTAAGACCTGAAGAGTTTTTTTTTTTTTGCCAAGTCAAATCGGAAAGTTATTTCTGTTATCCTCAAAATGAAAATGCATCTGCGGTTTGAGTTTTAAAGAATTTATTTTATTCATGTTCCATAATGATCTTTTCGATAAATCTATATGAATTCTATGTTTTCTTTATAGGTGGGAGGTGAATCCTTTCTACTGTGACACAGTAAAGAAAACACATCCCTACAGATCTGGCAACAGGCTACTCAACATCATGGACATGTCCATCTTTGACTTTCTAATAGGTATTCAATGAAAAGACACAATCCTGACACATTTAAACTGGACATCTATTGTCAAAATCATCTTTATTTTAATGAACAGGTAACATGGACCGACACCATTATGAGACTTTTACCAAATTTGGAGATGAAGGGTTTCTTCTCCACTTGGACAATGCCAGAGGGTGAGACATACAGAATGTGAAATAATGATTTATGCTTTTATTTTGTCAGTCTACAGTTTAGATCTGCTGAAGTGGGATGTTGTCCAGTGTCTTAACTCTTGTAGAAAGCTCAGTGAACAACTTCAGTTTAAGAAGAATCAGAATTAATATGGGTAGACCGGGTGCCTGAGGCTGCAGCCTCATGAGAGGCGCTGCCTTTTTCGTTAGATAAGGAAAAGTGAACACGAGGAAAGAGGAGGTAAAAAAAAAAATCATATCAAGTTAGGGACATAGTGTGAAGTTGTAAGAAAACCTCAGCACAAAAAGTAACACGACATCAGCATATGGTAGCTAGGGCTGTTGTAAATGAATATTTTAGTAATGGAGTAATCTATCGATTATTCTGGCGATTAATCGAGTAATCGAAAACAAAATTTGTCAGGTTCTGCAGTAACGTACTCATTTTATGAGTAATACAAATACACGAAAAAGAACATTAAATAAACAACCCATTTAATTCCTCTTTTAAAAATGTTTTATTGCTTAAATTTAATTGTTTTTAAACATCACAGAAAAATCTAAATGCTGTAAAATAATTGTTATGGATTGGAAAACTGAATGGAATCTTCATGTTAGAAACTGAGTAAGATAATGTAAAGTTTGTACATTGAGTTCTGCAGACTGTATTATTATTTAGTCTTGATTACTTAGTTATAAACAAATATGACCGTAGTAATAAATGCAGATTAATCCCAGTTTTCAGTCATAAACAGCAGCAAGAAGAAAAAAAAGTCCTACTAACTCGTTTAAGTACATTTACACTTGAAATATTCACCTTAAATATCTCATTTAAGTCAGGATGGAAGTACAGCAATAAATAAATGCATCAGTCTGTTGCTGCTTTTATCTTTAACAAACTTGCATCGAGTCCTGCACAGTTTTTTTTCCTCACACATCATACAGACCCTGCCAGATAGCCACTGTGATTAGTCAGTAGATTTAACGTTAGCAAAAATATGCCTCATTTTATATCCATAACATGACAGATTATCACACATTTAGTATTTTGCACAGAGAACATGATACAACCTGTTACGTTCTGCTTTGCAGTGGATGCATTTCACTGTGTTGTCTTTTCTGTTTAGCCTAATGTTCCCAAACTTTTGACAGTTTTTGTTGTTTTCAGAGCTCTTCTTCTAGGCAGTCTCCGTTCCCTCCATAGCTACAAACAGCACATACGCGTTAGCGGAAGCACTAGCGCTGTGCAACACAAAAACCTTCCGGCTAGACCACAGTGCTCTGAATAGTTTTAACGAAGCTTTGAGGCAGATAAATTTGCCTCGAGGATTTTTTGTAATCGATGTCCTCGAATTATTCGAGGAATCGTTGCAGCCCTAGTGGGAGCAGAGCATCTCCCATAACATCCCGGAGAATTTGAGATAGTCAGCCTTCCAAGGCCGACACAGGGGAGCCATATTCAGACAACAGTTGTTTTGGATCAGGCTGACTCCGTTAATTTCCCATCTACTTTACAGTCTCACTGGTACATCTCAATGGTGACTCCAAACAGCCAAATTTAGTGGTCAGTATCGCTGAGCCGAGCTTGCAACTTCTCCAAGGTCAATTCTTTGCCGCCAGCAAGATTCAGGAGCCACAAGTAGCCTGCAATTCTCAGCAAGAATCGCATCCAGCTTACGGTCAGCTCACACAGCATCTGAGTCCGAGTGCTCACAGCAGGCACATTCCCTCAAAATCTGATCCATTGCATTGAGAGACCAGCTGACCAGATCCATAATTTACACTTCAAAAGATATGCAAAGAGAGGCTCCAAAAGATTCACAGGACAAAGAGCAGAAGCAGGGGAAGGAGCGGGAGGAAAAAGCATCCGCCTTCACCAAGAGCAAGAAGGAAAAAAAAAAAGTTTATGTTATTAAACTGAAGTTGATTTACAACAGGTTTGACCAAAAAGACTCTAACTCCATCCCCTCTCATCACAACATAATCTGTTTAAAACTTCACCCTAAAAGGTGGTGGGAGATGTGCATTGCTTTGACAAATGTCTTAATATCTTGCACTAATAACTAGTTTGAGCGTGGCCTCGGCCAAAGTGCTTTTAAATCTACATTCATTTCATTTTCTGCTCAGGTTTGGGAAGCACTCTCATGACGAGATGTCCATCTTGGCTCCACTCTCTCAGTGCTGCATGTAAGTCGATTGTTGCACACTCGCAATTCTGAATAAATTGAGACATATACAATTCAAACAAAAACAGAAAGCAATGATGTACAAATCTCATAAAGCTCATATTTTATTCACAAGGGAACATATCAAATGTTTGTTTTGTTTAATTGAATTACAAATGGCTATTTTTAATGTGACGGCAGCAACATATCAAAAATAGTTGATACAGGGGGAAAGAAAAGGTTGTAAAAGTAAGAAGGAACAGACGGAGGAATGTTTTGAAGCTAATTATGTTAATTGACCAAAGGTCATTAAAAAAACGGGGTAAGAAAAAACATTTCAGAGAGGCTGAAGAGGTTCACCAGTCTGTGAGAAAGTGTCTAAAACAGTGGAGCATTTTCAGAATATAGTTTCTCAACAACAACAACACATTAATTAATTAATAAAAACTGGAACGAGTGAATAGTCCGTCATAATTAATTTATAGTTTATGAAATCGTTAAAATATTTCAAGAATTTAACCGTAAGCTCAAAGGACCACACTGAAAGTCAATATTGGATACTTGTGATCTTCAGGTCCTGCATTAAAAACAGGTCTGATTCTGTTCTGGACATCACTGCACGGACCAGGAAAACTTCCACAAAACTTTGTCTGTAAACACAGTTCACTGTGCAGGAAAAATTAGAGGCTCAGCACTGAGGCATCCGTCCAACCCGTCGCAACCGAGAAGCAGAGGCCCCGTGCACAAGAACGCCCCAGCTTATCTTGGCCCTTGGCTCCGCCTTCACATCCGGGCGGGCACAGCCTATCAGTGTGTATCAGTGGGGTGACTATGTGTGACGTCATTGGTCTTATCTGTTTCTGATGGTGGATAATAGTGCGATGTGCAAATCTAAGTGTTGGAAGCAAGAAAAACAAAAAAAATGACTCCTTATTGCGTGTTGACCTTGGGATCGCTAGTTGTGAGCAGCTGCCTGAGACTGGTCTGATCCAGTCCAAACCAAGTTATGAGTCAGAGTAGACCAGACCGGGCCTCCAGCAAGATTAAACTTCTAACACAACACAGCCTACCAGAGCTCCGTTTAAAAGCCTGCCTCTCTGATGGTATGGGGGTGCAAGTGCATATGGCATGAGCAGCTTACACATCTGGAAAGACATCACTGCGGTAAAGTATATACAGGTTATTTAACAATATATATATTCACATTCAGTTAAAAACAAAGGTAAAAATAAGACCCAGGACTGTTGAGCAGCTACTTCAGACAGAACTGGGCCAACATGTCCCTCCAACTGTTGGTAAAATGAAACCAGATGCTTCAGTGACAAAATTCAAAATAACTTATTTGTGAACAATGTACATTTGTGTAAATGCTCTTGCTACTTAACAATTTTAAACCAAATCAAAACACTCCTCTTGCTTCATCATAAATGCTTCAACTCTTCTCTTCTCTTTAGGATCAAGTATTCCACCCTCCTGAGACTGCAGCTCCTGGCCCGGTCAGAGTTCAGGCTCAGTGATGTCATGAGGGAATCCCTCTTGACTGACCCTCTGCAGCCAGTCCTGACCGAGCCCCACCTCTTAGCGCTGGACCGCAGGTTACAGAAGGTCCTCCGAATGGTCCAGCGCTGCGTCTGGAGGCTGGGCAAAGATGTGGTGATCACCAAAGACTTTATTAAACCCACGGTGAAACCTCAGATGACCACAGATATGGACATGTCCAGGTAACAGAAGACAATCACTGCTCAGGCCCCAAATCACCAGCTGAGTCCAAGGAGAGAGCTGCCATGCACTGGATTAATCCGATTTATTCTGGTATACATGGTGACTGTGGAGAGATATTTAAAAAAATTGAAAATAAAGTTATTTTATGAGATATGTTTTAAAACTATGAATTACTTAAAAAAAAAAAAAAGACCGGTGTGTGAGAAGTGTGAAAATGTTTGTTAAAAGCCATGCTGGTTTGCTCCACCCTGTTTTCCAGACTCATAATCCCGTTTCATCAGTGTGTAAACCACTTTACGACATCGAGGTTATTCCAGTGGAGACAAGCTGAGACTGAAAATATATAGTAGTTACAATGATGCTTCTTAGTGATGGATTCTAAACTCGTTGAAAAAAATCTGAGTGGCTTTCCTGCAAACTAACTTCAGCTTTAGTCCTCGTTACTTATTTTCTTCTGATATGACAGGGTTACATTCAAATCTATGTAGGAGAATTATACCATACCATTTTATTTATCGAGCACTTAAAACAGCGACAAGGCCAACCAAAGTGCTGTACAGACAGAACAACAGGCAACACACAAAGCAACATACAAAATGAAGTTAACATAAAAATGTTGCAGATAATAAATATAACGACGAACTAATGTGGAGCATACAGGTTCAAAACACAGATCATCTGGTGTTGAAAGCTACTGAATGGTAGTGGGTTTTTAAACGGGATTTGAAAACCAAGAGGGAGGGGGGCCAGTCTGACAAACAGAGGTAACTCGTTCCAAAGTCTTGGTCCTGCTACAGAGAAGGCCCTGTCACCTCTGCGCTTAAGGCAAGTTCCTGGAACTGTGAGGAGCAACTGGTCCGCTGACCTCAGGAAACGTGGTGGGACATACGGCTCTAGCAAATCAGAGAGACGGGGG